CTCTCTCTCTCTCGCTACAAGCAACTACCACGCCCAGGTCCTGCAATCCCTCTCAGAATTTCCTGGCTGCTCTCCCTCGATCTCTCCTACGCTTAGCTTACACATATAGCATCCAGTGCAGTCAACTACTTCTCGCCAGATACTATTCACGGTCCCAAGATCTTGGTGCCCAGCACTTCCGCTAAGCCAGAATTGACGAAGAGGCAGAGCCTGCCCTTTTAACTGATACTTGTTATAGTTATACACAATGTGGAATTGTATTGCACTTGTCTTATCACTCACAGGTGTTCTGCACCATTGGTCATCATCTTGAAACACACTCATCATGAATAACGAAACACCTGCACAATTATCGGTTCTTGCCCCAGCACCRAGCTTCTTCTATTGAGAATAAGAAAGCACGGTACATAGAACGAAGTTATAAGCTTTCAAACTGTCAAAATCTGAAGAGGAAATCACAACACACACCTTGTCCCCCCAATCAAAACTCCTGCTTCCGATTACAAACACTGTTGCTGCTATTTTCTATCCAAATGCATGAAAATTGAGCGGAGAAGYGCTTTTTTCATGTCCCACTGGGATGGTAATCCGGTATACTTAATTTAGTTGTCCATGTGCAGGTTTCAGTGYTGATGAAGACATCATYTCCCAGGCGCCTCGCCTTCACTATCTGTTACCATGCCTTACTTGCAGCTGTGGTTGCTGGTACAGTCCAAGCATGGGATGAAGCTCGTCAATTCGTTGAAGAGGCATGGACAMGGCCGGTCGCAATGTGGGTCGGTTTTGGCATCACTGTCTTCGGATGGGTCGCTAATCTGGTTCGTCCATTCGCAACCCCAGCTTACCGTGGWTGGGATGGCAAATTGAGCTCAGCCTGGGATTTGGAACTGGTAGGACACTGTGTTGGGTGGCTGGCCTACAATGCCATTGACACTGCGTCTGTTTTTACAATCAATTCTCTCTGGTTGGGGTCCTCGCGGCCTCCTCTTCGGCTGGGCATTCTTGCTGCATGGGCTTTTGCATTTTCGTCACTCATTGGCAAATCCCCGGGATGGAGTTACCAAGATACACAAATTGCCGACCGGTATTGGCTCACATTGCTCAACCAGGTGGTGTCCTTTACTTTGCGGCAGTCGTCAACTACTCGGGAAGGGACCTTGCAGTCCTGTGTCACCTTGGCCTCTCTTCATCATTGCTGTACTGCATCCGTATTGTAAGTTTGTATGATCTGCGCGAGGGGAACACGAGGAGACTCATTGGAGACTTAGTCTGGTTTGAGCACTGGTCGGGATACCAACGTGAATGCCAGGGAGTCCATGAGTTTGTGAGCAGGATTCAGGAGCGACCCCAAGATGAGTGGCATCAGGTGGAAGCCCTCTCTGTGGTTATTCAAAGCCTTTCTCGGAACACTGGCTCCTGGGGGTTTCACAACTTTACGATGCCAAACTTCAACGTCTGCGAATTAAATGTGCTGGAAGAGAAAGCGATGTGGTTAAGATATGTGTTGGCATGGTGGCATGCACGTCGGGGGAGTATGTACATGCCCAGCTCGAAAAAATGGAAGGTCTGCCTCGCCTGGTCTCTTGTGAGTTGGCCGGGACTTGTTGCTTGTGGGCTACTGGCAGACGCTGTGGACACCATACTTGTCGCTGCATTTGTGGTCTTCTGGCAAAGTCTTCTGCTGCATCTGATTGTGAAAGTCTGGCGGCAGGAGGATAACCTGGCAAACCTCAGCGACAAGAGAACTCGTGACCAAGCGGAGAGACGTCAACCCGTTGACGAGTTTGGAGGACTGCGGAAGGTGGTGCTTCAGTACCATTTGCAAGTTGCGGCCAACTTGACCGGACTTCTGAAGAGCGCTCTACATACAAGAACCCGGGATTGTGTCCCTTCATTTGATTATGGTGTTCCCTACTTACGAAAGTCTGTGATGGTGAGCCGACAAACGAACAAGATCATGGCAGTCGTGCGGTTGCTTTATAGCAGTGGTGATGCAATCAACTACAGTAAGGATGGTGCCAGGTGTCTCATTGGCATGTGGTCTATGGAGTATCCCCCATACAAGCCTGATTTTCCACAGATACGTGCTACTGAGCTCGCTAAGAGAGCTGCGAGTGGCAGGTTCTGTAATCGTGATTGTTCTCGATCCAAGTGCTTCGAGCCACTTGTGCAGCTCGCTGTGGCTGTCTGGACACGAGTGAAGATTTTAAATGAACCCGAATACAACCGACATTCTTGGAAAATTTCAAACAAAGATGTTGTTGATCTCATGGAGGAACATCGATTTCATAGTGGCGTTGCCGTCGAGTGGGACCCAAAAGCAGAGCGACCATGGTCAAGGGGGGACTGTCCCCAGGTAGGTGAAACACTGCATGCCTTGGTGTGCGACATTGCCAATATGTTGCAAAGGGTCTCACTGGTTGAGGATGAAGTAGAGGCAGAGAGAGAGGAATGGATGGTAGTCATGGCCTTATTAATGAATCAGGTGTGGCTAATACCAAAGCCATTAGCTATTAATCCCGCGAGGGTTTGGCAGGCTGTTGTGAGCATGTATGCCCGAACGTTGAACCGACGGAATGAACTGCCCAGAGACCTGGATCTTATATATGACGGAACGACTGAACCAAAGATGCATGACACTGGTCCAGCCACATTAGGCTTTGTTGAACAGGTGGCCCATATAGAAAATAAACCTAATGCTGACCCCATAACATCTAATTTAACTGCAGTGGCAAAGTGGTTGAGGGATCATGCCAGACACGAGGAAGTGGCTGAATTGATATGGGCCAAGAAGCCCTTCATCAAGTTGTAGTCTTTCTCATTGGACACGAGGAAGTGGCTGAATTGATATGGGCCAAGAAGCCCTTCATCAAGTTGTAGTCTTTCTCATTGTGCATGCCTGAGAGGTTGCGAATATAACATAGATAACTTAGATATCAGAGTAATTCTGCAGGCCGTAAGTTGCAGCTTCCTACCTCCATTCTCTATCAGTGGTAGACAAGACAACATTCAATTTGCATCAGCACCAGGACTAGACCCTGGCCTCACAAATTATATACAGAGCCTCTCTCTCTGCGATGAATGAGCCCTCGTGGGGCCCTTATCAGACATACACATATTCTGGGCTGAGGCCCCCAGCAAGCCATGTGCCCGCCCTAAGTGAAGGCGGGCCTGAATATTCACAAGAGGCCAAAATTTGACATTTCTCCATATGTGGGTACTCAGAAAGTTGCAGCACGCCAGTCGGTTACAGGAAACATGAGCCCTAGGCTCTTCCGGAAACAAAGGCTGCGCTGCACCATTGAGCCGAGGGCCAGGTGGTTGCGCCCTGGGCATGCGCAGTGTGAGGCTGACACATCACGCTGTGGCCGCAGATGAATGAGGAAGCAGTAATGTCGTCACACAACTGCCGCGAGCCAATGAGAATGCGGCAAACACTTGAGCCTGGACGACGGCCTGGATGAGCCTAACAGAACAGGGACCAGACCCGTAACTGTGGAAGTGGGCCTGGCCGCAGACAGTGGGGCCCGACCGGAAGCTACTGGAAACTTCCTCCACCAGGCCCAGGCAGCCCAGAGAGCCCAGCAACTCCCATACAGGGAGGAGGCCAGCCAGAGTCTGGCATTCTGGCCTAGGCAGGCAATGCGGACACGCTGCTGCATTTCTGCGCAAATGTCTGCTTGAGCACTGCTGGCTGGGGCGCACGCGGACACTATGAGGTGAGAGGGGCGCTTCAGGGCAGCGGGGCGCTAGCGCCCATAGCCGGGCTGCAGGGCGCGAGCGGGTGATGAGCGACGGTGGTCTTCAGGAAGGAGGCGCATGACTCGCGGCATGAGTGGGGGGGCCAAGGGGTGATGAGGGCAGTCGAGAGTACGTACCTGGTGTATGTGGGAGGTCGGCATTGGTGTTGACGACATGTAGTAGATTAGTCTTCAGAGGCGAAGTGATCCTGTTGCACGAATGTAGATAGGATAGATAGGCTGAGAAGAGCAGATAGGGCGTTGGGCGCCATGCAGTAGGAGCGACATTGGATACTGTGTTGGTGTGGCCTGAGGGCTTGGACATTAGCTCACGAGTTCATTGTATCGCTCTTATGTGGATGGAATTCCGGTGCATTTATGCTCTCTGCTTGGTACATGACTATCTGGACTTCTGTGTGATTTTGCAACTTGGTTTTCTATAACGCTCTCGCTCATATTCCTTACATCTCTCTCTCTCTCTCTCTCTCTCTCTCTCTCTCTCTCTCTCTCTCTCTCTCTCTCTCTCTCTCTCTCTCTC